TGAGTCTGATTGTCAAACGTCGCAATCTATGAGAGTAGGGTTCTCTCTAGTAAACTCAAGAAAGGTCACGGAGTATGACGCATAAGCTCCACCCGCGGGGAAGACCCACGGTAGCCACGTATCGGTCAAGGCTTTATGTGAAGCTAGATTCGCAGAAAACTTGCAGTTCAAGGCCCAGTTCACTGTTCAAGTTGCTTACTAGTGTAGTATAGAGTTCTAGGTGGATGTTCAACTTAATAGTCTCCACTGCAGTACCGGTATATAAAACAGTGTTTTGGAACCAAAGGCAAATTTCTGTGTGCCTCTGGGATCTGGTGGGGGATTGCTGGAATTTAGTCTATTTTGGGCAGCCCAATAACTATTTCAGAAATTCCTAATAAATCCTAGAGGCCCACTCAGCCCATTTGTGCAAGGCAAGGGATACTACTAAAGTTTAGTCCCACATTGCTAGTTTAGTGGGAGTTGGACCTCCTTATAAGGGAGGTTCTTTCCCCACTTGTACGAGCATGAGAATAAGAGGGATATCCACGCGCGCTCCTCCTCCGCCGCCCGCCTCGCCACGCCACGCCTCGTCACGACACGACACGACACGACCCGACGCGGGTTGCGGGAATGAGCCGAGCCGATATCTAAATTTTTGCCACGCACTACGGGTATACGAAAGGTCACACGGAAGCTGAAAAGATTTTTGCGAAAGTGGAGTTTGAATGCGAACGGTGCAGCCCTTCGGCTGCTGGCTGTTCGTTTCGCCTCCCGTCACTGCCCTCTCGCCTCCTTCTCTTGCGCCTATAAAAGGGAGGTCGCTCCTTCCAGAGAGACGCACCAGAATCTCTTCCTCCTCTCGCCACAAGTTCCTGAGCTCTGAGCTGCTTCAGTCTTCCTCATCCCGGCTTGCGGCGTGCACAGCGAGTCGGGACAGTAGGCCTCCGAAATCGCACCTCTTTGAGTCCTGTACGGGAGAAGGGTGATAAGGTTTTTGGGGAGTGCTCTACGCGACTACTGACTGATTCCTTCATCACAGACGCCACGGACTCCGACGACTACTTCCCCGACGACGACTTCTTCCCCGACGTCGACAACCTCCTCGACGACATGGCCGGCGAGGACATCGACCCCAAGTCCAGTGCTACCGCTGTTGCTGTCCCGTACGTGTTCTCCTTTCTGTTAGATGTCCTGCCACAGTTTCTCGTACTAGTACTTGCTCTACATATGTTACGCTCTACTTCATATATGCAACTAGTTCTACTGTCTGCTATAGATATGCTAGGCTACGGTTTATATATGCAGAAACTATTTACCTTCCCTATGTCAGAACGCATGACTTGTTTTATCTCTATTATATTAGTAATAACTTATTGGGTACCGTACGGAGTATTTGAAACACGGGAAAGAAGTACCACTCGGGTAATATTTCCAGAGGAGTTGCAAACGGATCTGCCGGATGCTTTATCTAGTATTTCTGTTAATAAAATCATTTGGTAAATTGCTCATATTTCCAACAGCTACATCCGTATAATGTGTAGTTTGATGATTTTGACTGTAAGGAATATGCAAACGCGACACAAAAATGCGGTCAGATCTTGCATAGGTGTTATCATATAAAGCACTCACATTTTTGGGCTTGTCTGATGGCGGTAAAGAAACATATTTTTCGCTTCGGATCCTTCGCTATAAAAGACGGTTCCGAGATACGTTTCTGGGAGGACAAGTCGCTAGAAAAAGCCTTGTACTGCATAGTACACGATAAGAGTGATACTCTTGCGCACGTTCTCAACTCTTTCCCACCGAATGTATCATTTAGGAGGGATTTGATTGGCCCCTGCCTTGTGTCATGGCAACATCTACTATCCCGTTTGGATTTGATTAACTTGACACAAGGGCAGGATGTGTTTCGCTGGAATCTAACTACATCGGGGTATTTCACAGTTGACTCTATGTATCGTGCACTATTGCACTTAGAGATTCCAATGGACAATAATAAACTAATATGGAAATCAAAGATGCCACTAAAAGTTATGATTTTCATGTGGTATCTACGAAGAGGAGTTGTGCTAACTAAAGACAATCTTGCTAGACGCAATTGGCAAGGAAGCAAGAAGCGTAGTTTTTGTATTCATGGCGAGACAATCAAACACCTCTTCTTTCAATGGAAGTTTGCGCGTTCTACATGGTTCGTCATCCAAATAGCGTCCAATTTGTATCGCTGGCAAGTGTTGCCAATATATATGGTCACTGGCTTGACAGAATACCAAATACGATTAATTCGGGTGGGAGCGTCTGCCTTACTATGGTCGCTTTGGCTATGTAAAATGATTGTGTTTTTAATGGCAAAATATCCTCTCCTATGCAGGTTATCTACCATTGTACGCATTGGCTTCGTATGTGGTGTACACTATACCGAACGGAGTACCAGTCATTGTTCAAGGTGGCATGTATGCGGTTGGAGCGGGTGGCCAGGAAGGTTTTTACTCAAGATGGGTGACAGCATAATCTCCGGATCGGTCCACCTCCTTCGTCGACATAGGCATAGTTTTGGTCTCATATGGCTTTACTGTTGCCGAATTGTCGGGTTTTTTTACATACTTTGTCAGACGATTCTTTTTGTGACTGTGTGCATCTTAGCTATGCAGAGGTCGGGTGTCGCTCATCATGATTTGTATCTGCTTCATGCTTCATTTTGAAATAATAAAAGCGCCCTTTATTGAAAAAAAATCATATAAAGCATGCTTTTTGGCAAAATATCATCCTCAGAGTAGACATTTTTTCTTTTGTTTCTTAGAGCCTGTGATCTCTTCTTTTTGCTGCTTGTTATTAATGTATCTCATAATCTCAACTCTTTAGTTATTGAATGAGGCAACTCTTCTGCGCCCATTCCGAAAAAGGATATACTTCTAGTCTCCTAATTATACCATAAACATGGATTGCACATCTTTTTTCATTACCGATCTGTCGTATGCTTTGCAGCAACGCTTAGATCTGGAATCTTGAGTCAGCAGCAGCGATGTAGAGTGAAGATCACTTTGCAGTAAGTACCTTCGGGTTCGGGGCATGCTCAAGCTGACAGCACGGTTGGCAGCTGCGTGGAAGCTGTTGGAGGCCTTGTTGACTGGCCTGGCTATCATGCATAACTCTGTGGTTTGCATGCTGAAGAGGGTTGCAAAAGCTTTGTGAGTTTTGCGAGCATTTTGTAGCGCCGAATCTGAGGTTGCTCCAATGTTTTGGTTGCACCGTGGACATAATTATTGTATCTCGCAGCTGCTACCAAACTATCACTACAGGAAGGTCACACAATGCCGAGTACCAAAAATACTCTACAAAGGGCAAAAAATACTCGGTAAAGGCTTTGGTGAGTGTTATACTCGGCTTATACCTTGTCAGCAGGTTCCCCTCCCGAGTCGCCCCGCGCGCGACCGGGAGGAAACCCTAGCCGCCGCCAGCCAGGGCCCCCTCCTTCTCCCCCTCTCCCCTCGCCGCCGCCCAAGGGCGGCCAGGCGAAGCCTGGTCGTCGCCGGCGGCGGCGGGGAGTCCCTGTCCCCTCACGCGTCGATCTCCGGGCGGGTCGGGGTGCCTCGCTTGACGGCGGGCGCGACAGCGCGGCGGCGCGGGTGTAGTGCGACGGCAGCGTGGCGGCGGCATGACGGGCGTCGTGTGGGAGGCGTGCTTGGGGGCGGGATGCGATGGAGGCTCGGCCGGATCTGGCCCTCCTGGCGACGCGGTCCGTGGACGGCGTGGACTGCGGGCGGCCGCCTCTGTCGTGGCCATCCTGGCTGGTGGAGGTGGCGGCGCAGGTGGTGCGTGCTGGCCAGCCAGATCTGGCGTTGGGGGTCGGCCGGCGGCGCGTTGAACCGGTGGAGCGTGCCCTGCGGCTCCGACGCTTGGAGCTTGCCGGGCGACGTGGGTAGGGCACCGGCCGAGCGTGGCCGCTGCTCTGGCCGTGGGCGGCAGCGTGGGGAGGTTCGGCGATGGTGGCCTCCCGGTGTCGTGGCGGCTTCACGGTGGCTCGCCGGGTCTGCCTGCGGCAGCGGCCGGCTTCTCCGGCGTTGGCTTGTCTGCGATTGGATCGTCTCGACCTTCGCCCCATCTCCTCGTCGCCCGGGCGCTACTCCCATCAAAGGGCTGGTCCTTCCCCAGCTACGGTCCACCGCTCGTCTCGCGCCCGGGGCTGCAGGACCGAGCTCGTCTCGCGCACCGTGCAGCAGGACCGAACTCGTCTTTCACATTTTTGGAAAAACAAAGTCCATAGCTTGAAAATTTTCATCACCAGATCAATTATTTCAAGCACATGTTACTTATAATATTACACCTTTTAGTTCACAAGCAAGTCTTTTTTGGACATTGACACCATCAACAAGGTGTAAATCTACATACATGTGCTTTTGAAAAGTGGTGGCATGCGAGGCCGGGATGAAACAATCTTTGAAGAGTGGTGACATGTGACGTGCTAGATTATATGAAGTTTTGGAAACAATAGCTAGAAAGTGGATTGGGTAGACTATTAGGAAAACTAAAGTTGGAAAAAATTCCCTACTTCTAATTATCTGGAGATCTAGTTAACTAACTACATAATTAATTAATTGCATTAATGACTTGGTTTCCAAATTGATTCCGCGCGAAAAAAGGTCTCTATTTATATGGACCTAATGAATTGTGCACATAATTAACTGGCTGGCTAACTAATTGCATTAATGGCTTGACTTCCTAATTGATTCGGCACTCAGTTTCCAAATTGTTTTCGGATTAATGGCTGCGTGCAAACGACGATAATGCACACATTCCTCTTTAATAGTAGATATCATTGTAAGTATATAGTGCACAAAAAATAAAATATACAAGAAATACATTTTGACATATATGTATAATATATAAAATTGACAAATAAAATAATTAAGATGATATCCCTCGTCAAAACTTTATTTTGACTCAAGGAATATCTAAAACTTCACTCATTTGAGAACTGGAGGGAGTATGTAAAAACTCTGCAACCAATAAACACATCATACCTTTCAAAGAAATTTGTAGTCGTTGCCCCGCTGATGATGATGTCTATATCCTTGGAGAATTCTTTCAATTGGGAATTGTCTAATCCAAAGTTCTCTTTCATGATATTTCCGACCAAAGGACAAATCTTTTCTTCAATGAAATTATCGAACCCTGCACCATGATTTTCTTTCAACACACGAAAGATCTCCCTCCCTGTGACCTAAAAATACCAAAAGTTCATTGGGAAATGCTATATACCTAAATAGTTGTTCTCATTAAAAAAAAGAATCTTGGCACGCTTTTAATCTTTTAATACCCGAAAGGACATGCCCTTAACTTTTAATTTTTGAGAACTGTGCATAAGAGAGGACCACTACTTCAATGGCCAATGAGAAATTTACGAAGGGTAAATCCCAATTATCAGCTATGAGTGGAACAATGACTATATGGGCAACCCTATGCCGTGTAAAACCTTGACTAAACCCCATCGACTAGTTTAAAAAGGAAATATAAAGTTAATCTCTTGGCACGGTCTTAAGAACTAATAAGTTGATTTTCTTTAAACCGATGGTTGCACCGAGTACCTGAAAGGTTTTGAATGGAAAAGCCCCACTTTCTAGAATCAAAATCCTCTATCCCTCCAATTTTTTTAGACTGCTCACATTCTTAAAAGACATCTATTTTCAATGTTCAGTTTATCACCGATTTCATAGTAGCTTAATTGAAGCATGCTCTACTTGTCTCTGTCATATTCATATCGGCCTTTTCCCCTCTACTCGCAAGCCCATACGTGTTGACATCATGGAAATGACCTGGTTCATTATGTTTAATTTTTAATGGTACATTTCAGTTTTAGATTTAATCTTATGGATAGACCAAACAAATAGTTTTCACAGTTTTCAAACTTTAGGTATTTTCCTTAGCATTAAACAACATCTTCGGCTTTAGCCAGCAAGAGCACATTACATGCGTCTTTAGCCAGCATGATCTTGACATGCAGGAAAGGATAGTAAACACACGCTTGAATTAATTGCAATATAATCGCACTTTTCTTCTTATGCATGCCGATGCATCATGTACATGTTGCTTGCCCCGGTGTTTAGGTTGCAGCATGGCATGAAGGTTGGAGCTTCCTCCTTGACCAACGGCTTGTACAAACATTCCTTGTTGGAAAGCAGATAGGAATATGCAGAATTAGATAATAGCTAGATGTGCACATTCCAGTATTTTGTTTGCTTTTAAGGCATATTCAGAAGAAAATCCAGTACCTATTGGTACTAAATATTAGAATCTAAATTGGTGAGCCATCCGAAAGAGAAGTCAGTATATACGTACCCTAAGATTGGGGGTTGGGAGTTGAGTGTGCAAACCAAGGCCCTGTTTGGATTCAATGTAATTTTTGTGTGCTTACATGTATTAATCTCAAGTTTGAACAATATACTGGTGGGGAGCAAACTAAAATTATACTCAATCCGAACGAGGCCCAAGATGGCCTATCGGCTGGACAAGCATACTTCCATAAAATTTAATCGACATTATATAAGTATCAGACAAAACAAATGTACAATTCTATAGGAGAACGGCTGAAAACGAATATATTTCACCTCAGTTTGAATCCGAACCTTCGCAGATTCAACGTCTGGGGCCCGAATTAAGAGGAAGAGCTTCTTCACATCTGGCTGAACCCTCAGTATCTTCTCCACAAGCACTAAACATAAATCATGATGCATGAAACACCAACATATAAGCCTCCAGATGATCACCACACATGCACGGCACATCCTGACCTGAAAGGTAGTGAGTGACATGCATGAACACATACCTTTTCCTAGGAAGCCTGTTGAACCGGTGATGAGGATGCTCTTGCTTCTGAAGTACCCTGCAACGCTGTCCGCATCCATTTCAGCGATCATGGTACTCGACTTTTTCCCAGACTCCAGAAGACTATGTCACTTGGTGAAAGACTTTGAAAAGGTGATGCAGGACTACCTAACTGGCTATGTATTTATAGGGTAGGAAGGAGATGGGTTTCAGAGGTTAAATGTAACAGAGCAGTAGTGGACCAACGCTGGTTTACGAACTGAAGGGCACGCGATCAGTTCCAACTGTTTGTTTACTACTTTATTTCCAAAATTGCAATATAGAAACAACGTGACCTAAACTGTAAAGTGGTGCTTCTACTCAACAAGTATATATTATGCTCAACCACACTATTCTGGCTCAACATTGTGATGTCTGCCATAGTCCATGTAGTAATGGACTCTTCTTGGTCCAGCTAGGTCCTTTCCTCCAATACTTTTGGGACCTCTAAAAGTTTTACCATTTTTATAACTATTCAACAACAAAAATATTCCTCTATTTTTTAGCATGGATAATTGCAATCAAGCACAATCAAAAGTTATGAAACATATATTTTTCCCATATCGACAAAAGCACAAGCAATATTGTCATATCAGCTCGGGAATAGGAAGAACGAGTCTATTGTTTCAGTCATAGTTATATAACTAACTAAATTCTGAAAGAAACCATTCGGATTCCTAAAAGTAGATTCCCCAACCACCAGTTGAGACTAATAAATGGATATCATCATATCAATAGGGAAGAGGGTACATGGTTCCATTCAGTCCTAGTTAGCCGTACCAAATAGATGGTTAACCAATAACTAGTACAGTGTTAACTCCCGTGGCATGCTGATGGCTTCTAGAGTGTTGACTTCCAGAGTGTTCCTGACGTGCAATTAAAACCAGAGAAGGCCAATACAACTGAATTTGTTCTAGAGAACCGCGATAGTGAGTCGCAAGTACAATATGACATAGCGGCAATTACAATCATGTACGACCTAGGTAGATAAGTGGAACGGAGAGTACCAAATTAAAATGAGAAAATAACATTGCAACTAAATCTGTCCTAGAGAATAGCGATGGAGAATTAATGCTAATTAATTTCACCAATGAAATATAAGTTGTGCGCCACAAAAGTCAGAGGATGTCCCTATCATTCTGGATACAAATCCTACAGATTGCTCGCATGTACACCATCCTTTCAAATTTGGATTTGGATGGTTGCAACATAATGGATCTGCAAACCTTGTCAAGAATGTACGGCATAGGCCTACTGTTGGTCGAACGCCTACTGAGAGATGGAATTTCAAGGCTTGCGTGATGCGACGATTCTTGAATGGATGGGCAAAACTCAACATCAGAATATCAAAAAAGAAAAGCAATATCTATCCGCCATAAGAGATGACCTTGACAAAATCGTTGACACACATGCATTGTCCTCACTGGACATTTAGATGAAAAAAAAGATCCTAAAATTCTAATCAATTTTTTCAAATGCGAACATTTTTTTCAAAAGGAAATTACTTTTTGGGAAAAGGGAATATTTTTACAAAACGTTGATTTTTTTCCATAATTTTCAACATTTTATAAAATGTATGAATATTTTTTAAACGTGAATTGTTTTTGAGAACATGAACATTTTTATAAAAATCCAAAAACGTTTTGAATGCGTGCACATTTTTGAAAATTTGTGAACATTTTATAAAAATTGCAAACATTTTTAAATTTTGTGAACAATCTTCTAAAACCCAATTTGTTTTTGAAAATATGAATCATACAATTTAATTAGTTTTTAAACACAAACATTTTATGAGATTTTCGAACAAATTTTAAAAATACTAACCCTTTTTATAATTTAAAAAAAGAATATTTCTGAAAGAACTAAAATATAAACAATATATATGAAAACCGGAAATAAACCTGCAAACAAAAATGAGAAAACCAGTTAGGAGCCTTCAAGAAGGTTCCCCAAACCTGAACCAAAATCGCGTCTGCCTAGCGCCAATGGACTGCCCATATCTAGTTTCTTTTCAATGTTTTCATCACCATCATTGCAAAGCATCCTAATTATTGATAGGCAGAACAGGTTTCAGTTTTCATGCATGACAAAAAAAAACTCTTATCTTAGATTTGTAATTGAAGGAATGCACATTAATATATAATTTTCTAAACAATTTTCAAAAATCTAAACAACTTTTTAAAAATGCGAACATTCTTTTGATAACATGAACTTTTTTCGAAAAAAGCGAATATTTCTAGAAAAATGGAATAGTTTCAAAATGTTGAACACTTTTCAAAATTTATGAATATTTTATTGAAAAGGTTAACATTTTTTAATGCATGAATTGATTTTAAAATTTGTGAACAACTATTTAAAAAAGGAATAGTTTGTGAAAACATAATTTAAAAAATATCAGAGCATTTTTTTAAAACGTGTCTTGTTTTTTAGAACACTAATAGTTTTTTAAATATTGAATGATATTGGAAAACACAAACAATTTCTGAAAGTTTCAAACAATTTTTTGAAATGCAAACCCTTCTACTTAATTTTTGTAAAATTAAAAAAATACTTATGTTCTGAAGAATTAAAATAAACATATATGAAAAACCTAAAATAAGCCTGCAAAGAAAAATGAGAAACTTTTCAGAAACCTTCTAGAAGGTTCTTAAAACCGGAACCAAAATCTTCTCTGCCTACCGCTAATCGACCGGCCCACCTCTTGGTGAACCAGTGGATCGGTTGTGGGAAGATGACAGTTTGACGTTGTGAGTGTCACCGAAGAGGAGGCCGTCGGTTGGCTGTCACATTTTGGTAGTCAGGCCGCCGCGTGGCGGTCCACATGGAGGCCCAAACTAATGATCGAGAGTGGATACGACATATTTTTGGCTGCACACTGGGCCGTCCATGCCTGATAGTGGGGAGGAGGGGGGATACCTGGGCTGCCGACCAACCGAGCGACGGAGGCCCCAATGAGCTGAGGCAATTCGCTCTAGGCTTGTCAGAGGTGTGCCATGTGTGGCTTATCCAAACCTCAGAAGATTCTCAAAAAAAAAAAAAATCCAATCCTCAGATTTTAATTGTATCCGTATCAACGTTAATCAATAAGGCCTTGTTCGTTTAATCCTCCTCCCAAGGGGATTGGAGAGGATTTTGACTTGTAGGGGATCTAATCCCCCTCAAACCCTGCCATTCCCCTTCAAAAACCACCTCAACCGAAAAGGCCTAAAGTGGAGCGGGTTTTGCCTAAAAAAAAGAAAAAGAAAAATGTCCAAAGCATGAACTCCGATGTCATGTAGCAAAGTTGTAAAAAAAAGGTTATTACAGCTGCTTTATTCGATTTTGCCAAGCATCTAGGTGACCACAAAAAAAATCAAATATGGAGTCTAAATTGCCAGCCAAAAAATAAAATAAAATCAGGAGCCAAAACTGAACTGAACCTAGCTCAACAGTGTGACAGTGTACAGTATTCAGCTACATGTATCTAGCTTGATTGGCTCCTTGCTTGTAGTCCGTGCGGCTCCTAGCTAGGTTTGAGGGTCCCCGCTGGCGTCGGGTGCCGGCGGCGCAACGCGGCCACCGTTCCTCTGGCCCATAGACTTGTGCAGCTGTGCTGCAAAAGTTAGAAGCGTCAGAATCAGCTGCTAAACCTTCAAACAGAACCGGGTAAAAGGAGCTACAACAAATGCAGGAACAGGGGTGAGAGCTCGTACGGCGTATCGCTCGATGCGACATTGCGATGAACAAAGCTTCCATAGCCGAGAAAAGAAATGCGAAGATGCCGAGAGATTCAGCTGTGGGATATATAAGGTGTACATACATACCGTTGTTGCCTCCGGCGAGGAGGCCGCCGACGGTGAGGTTGAGCAGCACGGCGAGGAAGGCCAGAGGCAGCAGCAGCAGCAGCAGGGCATGGTGGAGAAAGGCCAAGGAGCAGGAGTGTCGCTGTTTCATCTCTCTCTGAATCTGAATGCTGATGCTTGTTTTCTTCCTCCTTCTGAATTTTGTGGGAAGATGACAGGCAGAAGGTGAGAAGTGCACATGGATGGTCAGGGTGAAACTCTTCGATTGAATAGAAGATTGGGGCCAAAGAGAAACAAAGACCTTACAAATTGTAGAGTACATAGGAATAGAAGATGTCTGAGGTCGGCAGACATAGTTTACGGTTGTCGGAGCAGCGAGCATCTTGGCTACGTTTGTATATAGGCGTCGCCGTGTGGTGCATTGATGTCGGTATCGCACCAAATCACTGTGGTCAAAACTAGCTGCCCCTCCATGTGTTTTCCTGACCATAATCACTGTGTGTTTTTACTGTACAATTATCACATACCACATGGATCCTCGGAGCGTAAAGATCATCAGCAAGTGCCAACGCTTTTTTCCTCACTGCTAGTGCTTCAAGAGTTGTTGGATCAAAGATTCCAAAGAAAACAATTGTAGAGGCTCCCTGCATACCATCTCAAGATCATGTGACCACCAACACCATAACAAGATAACTGACTCATCTTCATTTGAAATACTGCATGTAGGAGTATTTTGCAAGTCATTAAATCACTGTTGGCAGAAAGAAAAAAAACTTGAGATATCAATTTTTTTATTAGAAAAGGGGTATTATCCCGGCCTCTGCATCAGAAAGATGCATACGGCTCATAATTAAAAAATAAAAGCAGTCACAAAAATCTCCAACATCTGAAGATACGAAAAGAAAACAAGCTGCTCAAGCGAGCCTAATCAAGAAGCCACAACCGGCTGGCAAATAAAATAGGAGCACTACATGTCGTGGTTCTAAGTCTGACAGTGAGGTAGGGGGTGTGAATGAAGAGGCTAGACCTTAGCTATTGAGAAGTTGTAGGCACGCAAAGTTTACGAGTTCAGGCCCTTCTCAGAGGAAGTAACAGCCCTACGTCTCGGTGCCCGGAGGCGGTCGATTGGATTATGCGTGTGTAGATGACAAAGGTGCGAACCCCGCATACTGAGGAGGGGGTGGCTTATATAGAGTTCGCCGGCCCCCTCCTGCCCTCAGTAATGCAGGGTTTAATGTACATTTAAGGTGGGGCGTTACTGATAACGTCCC